CTGTCCTGGAACTCACTTTGTAGACCAGGCTGGCCTCGAACTCACAGAGATCCACCTGCCTCTGCCTCCCAAGTGCTGGGATTAAAGGCGTGTGCCACCAACGCCTGGCTGCATTTTAGGTTTTAATACCAGAAACACTAATCTAAATTCAAGAGGCTTTTCTTTGCTAGTGCCTCATCCTTGCCAATGGTAAACTAAGTATATGTTCCTTGTGACTGGCCCTTTAAATAGGTCCGTTGATGGCGGAAATGTTATCACCTACTTAGAAAGGGAAGGCAGAGGAAAGTCAAGCCTTGGGAAAACCTGACCATAGTTTTTTCATGTTTATTAAGTACTTAGGAGTTCTACACAGAGGCTCCTTTACTGAGCCCAAACACTTGCCACCACCTACCTATCTGCTGAGGAACATAGTGGTATAAGCAGCTCATCTGATCTCTGGAAGAAAAACATTGTAAAGGAGATTTGTGTGTGAACCGTAACCCTAATACTTTTAATGTTGTGTGTGATTAAAGATGTAATTTTAAGAAATTGTTCTTATTGGAGGGAGGGAGGAGAGAGGTAGGAAGGGAGGGAGGGAGAAAGGGAGGGAGGGAGAGCAGGTGCCACAATACATCTGTAGAGATCAGAGGACAACATGTAGGTGTCTGTTCTCTCCTATCATGTGGGGCCCAGGAATTGAACTCAGGACACTGGGCTTGGTGGCAAGTACCTTTACCCACTAAACTCAGTCTCTGGTCTATAAAATCACTGACTAGAGAATCCTAGGTCATCAGTGTGGACAGAATGCAAATGAATCCAGTGGATGGTAACCTTTTCAAGTCTCCTTTGGCACAGGATTTGCTTTACTAATTATCGGTTAGCACAAGACGTGAGAATATACTGATCTATTAACATATAAAAATGTCATAATTAATAAATAATGCTTTGGGACATTGCTTTCAGGAACAGACTTTGTTTGGGAAGCCTAGAACCTCTCGAGTTATGCCGCAGCTTATACTCTGAAACTCCTGGTGTTTAGATCCCATCATTGTGGGTGTGGAGCTCTCCTCGTGCTCTATGGGATGCTTAGCTGGTATGGGGCCTTTCCACCCTCTGCCCTATATGATGTTTAGTGCCATCCTTTGTCCTCCATGCTCAGATGCTATGGAGACTCCATTTCTACTTACAATAACCAAAAATGTCCCCAGACATTGCCAGAGTCTTTAGCCTGATTGATAATTAAGAGGAGTATCCTGGGTGTTTCTACCTAATCAAGGATGTCATCTTACTGGCTGTTACTGAACTTAGGGATTACAGTATGTGCCCCAAACCAGGTCCAGCCACCCATTCTCATTTGGTCAAGTTCATGATTCAGATTAATAGAGGAAAGCATAAAAAGGGGTTTGGTTCAACATGGCCACATTGGACAAAAGATGGACAAAAGGCTCAAGTGAATCCCTCAAGTCTGTGTTGGAGACCCTGAAGTGAAGTCAAAGTTTAAATAGAGAACCAAGAACACTCACAGTGAGGCAGTCCAGTCAGGCAGATCTCCTTGTGTGGACAAGGAGTTAGACCTGTGTGGAACCCCCTCCTGAAGACATGTTTTCCCCGGGGCTGACCTGGTGCCCATCCTCCTCCAGCATGAGACTCCCAGGAAGTTCCTAGTTATTTGGGAACTATTGTTTCAACAGTCTGATAGTCAGATTGAGAGACACAAGTGTCTCTTTAGAATATCTTTATTTCTGCCATGCTGGTTACAGTTAGGAATCTCAGGAGCTTCACCGAAGGAATTCATCTATGAAGCTTCAATCTAGTTGTGTACATTTGAAAGACATGTATGAAAGAGTATGTATATGTGTGTACTGGGGGGCAGTATATCCACTAGAGGCCAAAGGTCAATCTTAGTATTCTTCCTCAGGCACCATGGACCTAATTTTTTGAGACAGTAACTCTTACTGGGAGGGTGGGGTGGGGGCTCTCTAATTAGGCTAGGCTGGCCCACAGATAGCTTCAGAAATCTGCCTTCCTTGACCTCCATAGTTTTGGGATTGTGTGCATGCACTACTTTAAGCTGGGACAGTTTTGTTACTATTTTGTGTTACAGGAAGAACAGCCACCTTGCAGGTATGTTCTATGAGCAAGACCTGAGGGCTGTACTGGGTCCCCTGCTCACATGATGCTGCCCAGCTGGGGGGAAATTTTGGAGTGCTAACGATGAGCCAGTGGGCATAAGAGAACCACATGGAAGTCCTAGATTAGCCTTTCATTAACATTGGGTGTTATCAGGGTTATTTTATGGTTACACCTCGTATGTGATGATGTGGCCTCTTGCTAGCTCAGCCGCCATGAGCAGCATCATGGAAGCTAGCCATCAAAGTACTGATATCAGAGGAGTGAATTAGTCACCTGCTATTAACTCTGCCACACACTCAGGACACTAGGCATGCTGGGTTTAGGCCAAAGTAAGTTTTGTTTTGTTCTGAATTTGTGGAAGGCTATGTGTCTATAACCCCAGCACTTCAGGGACAGGAAGGGTGGAGTCCCTGGAACTGGTTTCCCAGTCAGTCTTTCTCAGTCAATGAGTTTCAGGTTCAGTGAGAAACCTGGTCAGTCAGTGGGTCTGTCTACCTACCTACCTACCTACCTACCTATCTACCTACCATCTATCTATGTACATATAATATATATAGGGAAGAGAATAATAAAGACAGCTGATGTTGACTTCTGACCTCCATATGCATGCATACATGAACACTCAGGAACATGCACATATGTCAAATAAACACATACATATACACAATAATATTTTTCTAAAAAGAGCCAGGATAATTGTGTTTAAAATATTATAATATCAATTCCTGTTCTCAGATTTATAGAGATCAGTTGTGGTGACTATTGATTGCACAGAATGACATCTCTACCTACCTATCATCGATCTATGTATCTATCTGTATATTCATCTATGTATTATCTATCTACCTATGTATCTATCTTCTATCATCTATCTATGTATCTAGGTATGTATGATCTATGTATCTACCTATCATGAACATTATCTTTGTGTCTATCATGTATTTATTATCTATCATCCATCTCTCTCTCTTTCTCTAATCTTTTTCCTACTTATAAATCTTGTTTATGATTAGGTAGTCAAGCCTCCAAGTCAAATGAACCCCCTCAAATAAGTTGTTTATCATCGTGAATGAAGAATTTTGAGTTGGGAATATCTTTAATGTCTGTTAATTTATATTTACTCATCTTGGTGTTAATTGAGATTCAAGGAACTCACTAACTTACTTTGTTGGTGATTGGTTGTTTTTGTATTTTACTCTTAGAAATATATATATGTATATATATATTCCACTCAAGAAGATTCATTTATTATTTTTTATTTAGAAATGATTTTATTTTCCATATCAATCCCAGTTGCCTCTCCTTCCCATCCTCCCATGTCCCCCACTGACCACCCCCATCTCAACCTCCATCCACTCCCCAGGAAGGGTGAGGCCTTCCATGGGGGATCATCCAAGTCTGTCACATCATATTATTTCTAAAGGTATTGGTGGCTGTTGATAAAGTTTACAGAATAAATATCACCATATTATGACACTAAATGAAAATACCGAAGTCAATGTGGAAAGTTCAACTTTCATTAGCTAATACAAAATGCAGTCAGTCAGTTTGCAAACACATCCCAGCACGTAGGCCATTGATCTCAGCTGCCTGAAAGGCTAAAGAGGACCAAGAGGCCAACTTGAGTAACATCCTGAAAGTGTGAATGTCTGAAGATACATCTCAGTGCCAGGGTGCCAGGCCTGGGGTTAGATCCCAAGTTCTGCAAAAGAACAGTTCAGGAAGGCGTGCTCCATCATCTCTTAGGAAAACAGAGGATCAGAGCCATTGCTTGAAAAACTTGCTGGAAGCCTTCTATCTCAATTGGAATACTTTTTTTTCCACTCTTGTCTTCCAGTGGCTGGTCTACTTCCTATTTAATTCTGAATTGAGTTGCTGTGACTTCAGTATTTGGATGTACGGACATATGTTGCTTAAGATTCAAAATCAATAAATGTCATCCCTTCCCCTATTTTATTGGGAAATGAATTAAGACTATTTATTCTTATCCTGTAAAATCAGTGTTAATCCTATTGTTTCATTTTTAGGATTTCAGGCTGCGTAAATCTGGGCACAGCATAGCTTTTTCCCTATAATTCTAATATTTGAGAAAGTGTTGGATTAAAATTAAGGAAGGACACTTAATACATAGTTTCTTCATTCATGTGAACACTTTCATGGTACACACCAGGACTTAGAGAAGAGATTTAACAATGTCACATGATTATTTGGTCATGTGATCATTTTGATGGGTCCTAGGGACAGATGGTTCTGAATTGCTCTAACCCTGAGGGCCCTGTGAAGACATTGCATCGCCTCCAGGATTAGAATGACCGACTGGTAACAAACCAGGACTAGGCATTGACTTTGCTTTTCCTTGAGGGCCTCCATCTAGGATTGAGCAGTACCAATAAGAATTTAGGACGAAGTTCTTTTCTTTTTAGAAACTGTTTGCTTTTTACTTTTTAAATATTTCATGTGTATGATATATGTGTGTATTCCTATAGGCATGCGCATAGGGCATGCATGCAGAGGTCAGGGGACAACCTGAGGTCTTGGCCCTCACTTTTCACTGTGTTTGAGGCAGAGTAACTTGTTATAGCCTCTGCATACACCTGAAAGCTGGCCAGCAAGCTTCCGACTGTCTTAGGGTTTTTATTTCTGTGAAGAAACACGATGACCATAGCAACTCTCTTTTTTTTAATTCAAATTACAACAGCAACAACAACAACAACAAAAAAAACCATTTAATTTGTGTGACTCACTTACAGATCCAGAGGTTAAGTCCATTATCATCATTATGAGGAGCATGGTGACTTGCAGGCAGACATGATGCTGGCTACATCTTCACCAGAAGGCAGCAGGAAGTCGACTGAGACACCTGGTGGTATCCTGAGCATAGGAAACCTCAAAGCCCGCCCCCCGCAGCGACACACTTCCTCCAACAAGGCCCTGCCCATGCCAACAAAGCCATACCTTTTCATAGTGCCACTCCCTATGAGATTATGGCGACCAATTACATTCAGACTACCGCGCAGCAATTCTGTCTCGAACCTCTCTTCTCCCTGAGGAGCTCTGGGATTTTAGATGTGCTTTTAAAGTTCTGGGCTTCCGAACTCAGGTCTCCAGGATTGCCTAGTAGGCACTTTAACCAAGCTATGTCCGAGACCCACTGTGTTCACTTCTGGAGGTTTTAATCAGCATTTCAGAGCCAGCAGTGCTTTTTAAAATGCAGTGTTGTTCCCTGGCAGAAAGACCAGCACAGTGATGGGAAGCCAGTCCGAGAAGAATGTCCTTTGGTTCTTGCTTGAACTTCCCAGCAGCAAGGCCCTCTTGGAACTCCTCCTGCTTTTTCCATAGTCTGCTCATTAATTATTTACAGCAGCCATATTCTTTCCTGCTAGAGATCACTTTCCTGATGGACAGCATCTGAGGCTCACTATTCAAAAGTATTTTAAAGGTTGTATCGGGAAAAAAATCATTTTTTCTTTTTCTTCCTCTTTCAATTTTTAATAACCCTTAGAGTCTGCAGCTAATAGCCTCCCTTAGATCTTTCTTCTGTTGTTTCCCATTTCATATTCCTGGTATGGAGGTGCTGCGAATTTTCAATTGCACATCCCTTTGAAGAAAGCCATCTTTCATTTCTCAGTGAGAATAAATAAAAGTGAAGTCACACCTATTGGGTGATGGTGGTTGTGAATCTAAACACTGAGAAGGCAAGTTTTTAACACAAAATGGGGGGAGGAGGAGGAGGCTTGAGCTGGACTAGGAAGGTGAGTATGTTTTCCCTCACATATTATCTACATCTTTATCTTTCCCTAACCAGCCTTAGTTGAGAACTGTACACTATGAAGTACCAACGGTTCTATCCCCAAGTCTCCTTGAACTAGGTGTTGGCATCTCCTCTTCATATCGTGGGATGTAATCACCGTGCTGAACCCTAAACTGTTGCCCACTTCCTTCCACCCAGCTCTCCTCCTAGGTCTGTTTGCATCCTGAACCACACCAGTGGCACCCAATTTTAACTAGAAACTCTAACCCCCACCATTCACGAACGAATCTCACGGCGCTGCCTCCTCCTCATCTCCTTTGTGTTCACTTTTATCTCTGGTTGTACCCTTGGGCATCTCCTACTAGGCTGTTGCAGTTGCCACTCTCCTGGTCTCCAACTGGCTCGTTCATACTGGCTTTCATTCTACTTTGTAAATTGGATCGTTCGGGTTATTTGTTTGTTTTAGAGCTCAGATTTGTAAAAACCATTACGTGCACCAACAAGATGGCTCAGGAGTATAGGAGCTTTCGGCCTGGTCTGTCAACCCCCCGGGAACACACATGATGGTAAGAGAGAACTGACTTCATTTGTCCCCTAACAGCCACAGTTACACTACCTGTCTCTGCCTTCCCAGTGCAGGTCTGAGTGTATGTCTCTGCACCCAGCTTCTTTTGTTGGTGCTGGGGATCCAAGCTCAGGTCCTCTTGCTTGTGTTAAAGTCATTTCCCCACCCTCCCAAGGGATCTCTGTGGGAAGAAGGCGTGGGGAAGAAGGCTAATCCATTCAGGAGTGGATGAAATGACCACCTCAAATGCCCTGTGAAGGAGAAACCTGGCAAAAGCCTCTCACAGCATTCCTGGAAGCTCCAGGGTCTGGAACTTCAAGCACAGCAAAGAGAGTGTGGGTGACTCATGTGGCTGGATTGAGGTAGGTGGATACGGAAAGCTAAGGCATCCTCTTTTCTCCTGGGCTCTGAGTGATTACTTTCAGGCCAGAGATGAAAAATCCTTTCCTGGAAAATAGAAGCCAATGTTTATACATAGAAAAGCCCAGACAAACCATTTGATCATTCCTTTATTCCAAAAAATAGCTCTTGAGCGTCAACTATGTTTTTTGTCATTGTTGAAACTGTTATAAGTAGGATATAAACTGTATCATCATTCATGGAGCTTCTGAGAGAGACACACACACAGAGAGCCAGAGACAGAGAACAAACACACAAAGAAACACTATACAGTTGTCTTTTAAAGGTTTTCCGAGCTTCGGGGGGTTTGTTTTCTGTGTCTGGGTGTGAGCTTTTGAGAGAGAAACACACACACAGAGTCAGAGACAGAGAACAAACACAAAGAAACACAATACAGTTTTCTTTTAAAGGTTTTCGGAGCTCCGGGGTTTGTTTTCTGTGTCTGGGTGTTTTGCTGGCATGCATGCCTGTGCATCACTGTACCCTGGAACCGGAAGCCACTTAAACCCTTCCTACCCTGCGTTGCCATTTGTCTGGGTATTTTTCACAACAAAGGAATGAAGCTAGAGCACAGTGGCTTTAGCTCCCTCTTTCAGTTTGGTGCAAGGCTATTCACTGAGGAAGAACTTGAGGTGATCTCTGTAAGCTTTGGGGTACTCTCCCCTTTCCTTTCCTTCCTTTCTCCTCTGTCTTCCTTTCCTTCTTTTCTCCTCCTTTCCCCCCAAAGGAAGCACCCCTCTTCCTCACCCTGCAGCAGCACCCACACCACACTCCCTGCTACCTCTCCACCCTGATTAATTAGTGGTTAGTGGTAGAAATAATAAGTCTTCTTACCTGTTACCAAACTGCTACAAGATGACAAGAATTACATTTCAAATGAATTGGAAAAAAAGAATCCCCGCTCAAGGAGGAGAAAGGTTTGTGCTTAGAAACGACTATTGCAGGAATCCTAGGAAAGGTCTTGTCAGCAGAGTGGAATGCAATTAGGGAGTTATTTTATGGATGTTTAGGAACACTCTGAAGAATTCCATCCATTTAAAGTAGCATTAAAATAACAATAAAATTTCTGTGGGAAGAAAGGGTGACACCTTTGAAGGAAGCAACTGGTCTCCCACTGAGCCATCTTGGGACTTCAGGCCCATAGAGGAGCTGTCAGGAAATGGCAAATGCACACTTCAGCGGAGAGGTAATTTCATTTCAAGGCATGCCCGCACTCCCGAAGACCAGGGCTTTGATAGAGACTTGCATTCTTAGAGGCAAGCAGGCATATAAATGTCTTCAGAGATCTACCCATAGGTCTTGACACTCCAGATACTTCACCCTGTAATTTATTGTTTTCCTTCTTCTAACTGTCGGAAAATAAGCAAGAAGAGACACTCAAAGCGGTGAGAAATAGATGCAAGTGGCTTTTCTTTTTCACTTTTCAAAGAAGCTGTGTACTTCAGTACACGTTTTCATGAGCACGCCTGTGTCAGAACACTCTCCACGTGGTTGCTAACTAGCATCTATGAGACCAGTCACACCGCTAGAACATTTGCTGATTTCACTCCTATCCTTACATAACTTCACAGAATTGTCTAAAAGCTGCAAGGTACGTGATAGCATCACTTCCCTGAGTCCAAATCGCACAATCTTGTGTCTGAAAATTTTGCTTTAGTGTCCACTGTAGCAACTGCAGGATGACATGCTCTTTTTTTTTTAAAGCCTCTCCAGTGTCACCAATAGCATTCCAAGCATAGTGGGTTCAGAGAGCAGAGTTTGAACATGGAGGTGCCTGACAGATGAGAAGTAATCTTGAGTGAGCTGCTGTTATTTAATCCCCAGGAGGTTGTCAATTGCTTATATGGTCTTGGGAATTTAGATTCCCTTTTCGGTATCATGGCTTGATATACATCACATGACAGTGACTCATGAATTTCCTCTCAGTCTCTCTAGACCCAAAGGTGCTTTGGGTGAACACTTTCTGATGCTCTGACTATCACTCCATTCCCAGAGTTGGAGAAAGGCTTACAGAAAGGCTCCCACTATGCATTCATTCAATGCATTGGTTCAAATCCTAGACACTGAAATGTCACTACCCACTTGTTGTGTGCACCACTGACGATATCCCAGCAACTCTGTGGGGATGAACTGTTGGCCTCATTGCCTTGACCATCTGAGCAACTGTTCTCTTGGTGCTAGGTTAAAGCAGGCAAGTAGGGATGCATGTATCCCCACACGACAGTTCCCCCTTTTTGCTTAAATAAGAAAGTTCTAAACCTAATACAAAACTATATACAGTAAGAGCAATTATCATGTATTGTCCAGGAAAGTTAAAAGGGTAATAACATACACAAAAATGGGACTACAATCAACAAGAAGAACATCAAGCAAGAAACAAGTACTCAAGGTCTAGGCTATAGGTAATTGGCAAATAACAGAGATTATTCCCATAGCTGTCCTATCCTGAAGAGTCTAAGTCTTGTACCCCCATCTGGAACTTCACCAAATGGGGCAAACTAGTTAGCCTGTGAGCTTCTGGAGATCCTCTTGCCTCAACTTCCCCTCAGGTCAATTCTGGACCGCAGGAATGCACCACTTTGTCTAGTTTTTCATATGCATTTGTGATCCAAACTCAAAACCTAACACTTGGGAGGCAGATGCCTGCCAGGGTCTGGCCTGTATCAGTCCTAAGGGGCAATCTATTCTGAACTGATGTCTTTTGAGCTGTGTTTGGAACCAGCCGAACAGCCCTGGGTCAGACCCTGAGTGGGGGAATGTGGATCAGGGAAGTCCTAGCTACCCAGAGGCATTAAGGAAGAGACAGAGAAATGTTGTCATTTCAGGAGGGCTCTCAGTCAACACTGGAGATCAAGGTTTATTCAAGCATCCTCTTAAATAGCTTTCCAAAAGCAGGGCACTGGCAGAAGACATCTATTATCATGTATAGAGATGATATCAAATATTTCCTTTAATCCTCGTGACACCTCTAAATCTGTATGTCCTCACTATCCTTTTGGTGTGTCCCACTCGTCCCCAGGCTTTCTAGTCCTTACGATGGGTGTGGGTCCACTCAGGGCCAGGTCTATTATTACCCAAACTAGAAGCCATTCTCCACTGTGGCCTGGCCATCCAGAGGTAACCAGCTGACATCTAAAAGACAGTAGGAGATTCAAGCTCCTGGAACTGAGCTGAGGCCTAGAAATGAAATATCATATTTGGGCCCCAACAGATGCCTCACCGGCTGAGACATTTCCCCAGACCCACAACGTGTTCTCTTCAGTAGAAACTTCCAGGATCTAATAAAAGTTGACTGTGAGTAAAAGGGATGACTCAGGGATGCTGGGATGGTGGTGTGCAAGCTGCTGATGTGTCATCTTGGATGACTTTCCTTCTGGGTGTCCTCTGTGAAGTAGATGAGAGTGCTCACCTCATTAGACTGTGTCAAATAGTTTTCTGAACATCGTATTGGCTTGTCACTCACTTACTTAGAAAACTCACACATTTGTTCAATGCTCAGAGACTTTCAAGGGTTTTACCTCATTATCAAACCATGTGAAGTAAATCCCACACTTGCCAAATAACCCCTCAACTTATAATATAGCAACCCATAAGCTCTTGGACAGCAGGGTGACATCCTGTACACGATCGACGCTCAGTTTATATGATTTATTTGTTTCCTGCCAGTATTTGTGTATACATCGGTGGAAATGATCCAGTCAGAGTTGCGAAGACAGCTTAGTCAGTGAAGTTCTTGCCAGGCAAACATGAGGACTTGAGTTCTCGTCCCCTGAACTCATGGAAAAGGTCAGGTATGATGGCACACTCCTGGGATTTAGCATGTTGTGGAGGTAAAGACACGTAGGTCCTTGGAGCTCATTTCTCAGACAATTTAGCTAAATCGTTAAGTTCCAGATTCAGTGAGAGACCCTGTCTCAAAACATATGATGAAGAGTGATTGAGGGTAACTCCTGATGTCAACTTCTGGGCTGTACAAACACACATGTGCACAAATGAACATGTGTGTGCACACATACTATCTGAGCAAAGATAGCTATTGATAATTGAGTCATGGAAAGAGGCAGGACACCCTCACTCCAGATTTTGTGTGTTGATAGTGTTATTCAATGGGCTGCAGAGATCTCTGTTCTGTGATTCCTCCTGGTCCCAAACAGCTCTCAAGCTCCAGGCTGCTAATGCATCCAGAATCACTTGTTTCTATATAGACACAGGGCTACTCTTCGTAAAGGCTGCTCACCATGCAACCCAAACCCAGGCACACAGCAGCCTGGTAGTATTATTATAAACTCAGATTCAATCTCATTGCCTTACATGGATTTCAGTGGAGTTATACAGTTAAATTATTTATCGAATGGCCTTGTCTTTCATTATTTTATTTTTTAAATGCAGGGATTCTATGCTTTGAAATCTGTACTCTGTTTATCTACTCAGGAATTTGTATTTTAAAAAGTAGAAGCAATTAGATTTAAAAAAATACTTAAGACATGAATGAGGTAGAATCATCCAAATTTGATCTGTGGGAATCTGAGAAATTCCCAGCTTTCTCAAGCCCAGATCAATTTGCACACAAAAGTAAATGGCATCTTTGTTTGTTTCATGCAAGTGTGGAAAATAATGTATCCTGTATTTTAAAAGGCAGTTTGCTGACACAAAGAATATGATGAGCCAGCAAACTATTTAGAAATGTTCTTGACTTTGCCCTAAAAAATGTGTGTTCTTTCTCAGCCAAGATGGCTTGGCACCAACTTTCCTCTCAATGGTCGCTGCTGCCCCCTGCTGACAGCAATGATTCAGCAACGGACTTCCAAATGAAGAATGAATGCTCTTCTAGAAGATGAGATATTCAGGAAATAAAATAAAATAAAAGTTTGTGATTTCATTATGTTTTAAAACGTTTACATAACCAAACAAGATTAAATTAACTCTCTGGTGAACAATGCATTTTACAGAATGTTGGATGTAGATATAAAGGAGGATTGACAGAAGAAAGGAAACCAGCGCTGTGGATGGAGGGGTTAGGCAGGCACTTGATGCTGGAGGAAGGTGTTCAGTGACTGGAGATGGGTCTTTCAAAGCTAATATCTCTCTGACCCTGGCTCCCTCAGAATCACCGCTTGTGGGGCCTGATCTAGAGCTCTTAATGCTTAACAGAGGGTTTATCGAGTAAAACGACCCTGGCTTGTACCATTTTCTCATTTCTGGAGTTCAAATGGCAACTGTGCTTGTCATGTGGAATCACCAAAATGGGTCAACCATGGACGTGCTGCAGATGCCAACTCGTTGCCTTTCCACCACGCTAGAGATGCATACAGCTTCATGAGCATGGGACCTAGCGACACGGTGATTTCGTTGGGTAGCTGACATCTGAATATTTATTATTTCTGCTGTGATTTATCTACTCGACAATGCTTTTAATTTAATTTTCTTGGTGGTCACATTTAACAACCAGTGAGTAAAACTCTCAGGAGTTTACTAGAAGGTTCTACAGACTGGGTAAGAGCTAGTTGGTGCACACTTCTGGCTCTTTCCATGGGATGTCTGGGTGATGCAGGGAGACTGGTCAAATAGGAACAGTAAAGAAAGTGCCCCCACAGCATTGTGAAAAGGACCAGATGATTCGAGAGGGGTTCCCATCTGTCTTCTGGAAGGAATGGAAAGATTTACTTAGATCTGGGACAGGTCGGAAAGTTAGAATGCTAAAGATTGGAGAGCTAATAACCAGGAAAACTGTCTATGAAACCAGAGAGAGGGACAGTTAAATAGTTTCTTTTTGAAACCCAGGTTACTTTTGTCCGATTTCATCCTAATAGACAATAAAGAAGGTTTAAATGGTGTTACAGAGTCACTGTCAAATTTTTATATTTACATGTCTTTGCTTCAAGTAAGGGTGGTGACTGATTATCTAACAGAGTATGGAAGTCCAATCACCTTCATAGTATGGATGGGGCTTAGGGAAGGCATCTAGGCTCATAAAATACAGACCCAAGTTCAATTCCCAGAACCAAAGAAAAAAGCTGGGCTTGGGCTGCAGAAATGACTCGTTGGTTAAGAGTACTTACTGCTCTTGCAGAGGGTTGAGTTTGGTCCCCAGCATCCACACCCTTTTAACTACAGTTCAGGGAACCCAACACCCTCTTCTGACCTCTGTGGGCTCCTGCATGCAGGAGGTGTACCATATACCTATGCTCAAGTACACACACGTGCACATGCACACGCATGTACACACAGTAGGGAAGGAATTTGTGTTAATGAGTATGGTGTTAGCAATAGACAGCTGGATTTGAATTCCAGGCCATTCATTTACTATTTTTATTTTAAAATAATTTTAAAGAAGTGGGCATGGCAGCACATGCCTGTAGTCCCAGCACTGGGGATACAGGCCAAGGGCATTCCTGAGGGTTGCATGCTCACCAGCTTAGACTAATCAGAGTCTCAGGTCTTAGTGAGAAACCCTGTCTCAAAAAGAGGGTGATGATGAAGGAAATAAATTCAAGGTTTACTTGTGATCTCACACAAGCATCCCTCTACAATACCCCCTCACACACACACATGTACATGTGCACACATATCCCTACACACACATGTGCATGTACATACACATAGACACACACATGTACATGTATACACACACAGATATAGACACACACACACACGTGTAGAGATGAAACCTGAGTCAGTGACATGATGTTAGCACTTCGCAGCTAGATTTGAGTTTTGAACTGTTAATTTACTACCTATGTGTCAGGAAGACAAGAAAAAAAATCTCCCTGTGCCCCATATTTTTTTATCAGAGGAATGGACCTAAACATCTCAACCTTCCTGATGCCATGACCCTTTAATACATTTCCTCTTGTTGTGGTGACCCTCAGCCATGAAATTATTTCATTGATACTTCATAACTGTAATTTTGCTAGTTATGAGTTATAATGTAAATATCTGATATGCAGGATATCTGATATTCAGCCCCCCAAAGGGATTTCGACACACATGTTGAGAACCACTGCTCTAGGCTCTTGAGCCTTTGAGACTATAGTGGTTTGAAATGCCACCAATAGACTATTGTACTATGCACTTGATCTCCAGCTGGTGGCTGTTTGGGGAGTTTATGGATGCTGAGTCTTGGTGGAGGAAGCACATCACTGTGTTTGAGGATTTATAGTCTTGTCCCACTTCCTGTTACTCTACTTCCTTTGTGTAGATGGCATGTTAAAAGCCAGCTTATTGCCCCTGCTGGCATGCCATGTCTTTCCCAACATTAGAGACTCTAGCCTTTTGGAACTGGAAGCCAAAGCAGACTCTTGTTATTTTGTCACAGCAACAGAAAAGCAACTAATAAGATACTGACATTTGGGAGAGTTTTAGCATGCTGGCTTGGTGTCACATCTGGGCATGTTGGATTGCATCAAGGAGATACACAGAGTCAGGGAATCAGCATCCCTGTTTGACCTGCCCTCCTGGCAGAACATAGACTTAAGAGAGTGGCTGAAGGGCTGTTAGTCAACAGAGTCGGGGCTTCATCTCCTTTGGTTTTTGCTTATTGGAAATGAACAAGTCCCTCCTCCTCATCCAAATGGGACAGGTCCCACTGTTGGCTTTATGAAAGTAAATTTTTGCCTGAGTTCATGTCATGGTTTATTTTCATCAGGAGCCTTTTAAATCTACTGCCTTTTAAATCAGGAGGCTTAGAAGTAAGTCAGAGCTCTCAAAGAAGTTCATGTAAGAGCCCTTGGCAATAAGATATGCAAATGCAAACCATGCAATATCATTTTTTATCTCTCCAATAGGTGATGAAAATAATACCTAGTAGCAGAGAACATTTAGTATGCCCTTGCTGGAAGGATTGTAAATTGGTCTAAGTCTCCTGAAAATCCATTTTATGAACCAGTGAGACCCATAAAAATGCCCATGTGTTATGATCCACAATTCCCCATCTGCATATATATTCTAAGGAGACAGGAGAGGGTTAGCAATAAATGTATTCATTACAATGAAATTTGCAAAATAAACAGTGGGGAGATAAACCATCCCAGCAGCGTGAGAATGCTTTAAAATGGTAGTGCATTATGCTGCCGGTGCTATGGGAAACCGGCATTTTTGCAACAAAGAAAAAGATGTAAAAATGAATGTTTGCAAAATGCCAATTGTAAAAATAGTAAGTAGAGAAAAAAATGTCTTGGCATATCGACTTAACCATCATCTATTGCCTCTTGGATATACACGGATGTCAGGCAGGGGCGTTTGGTACTGCCACTATAATCTTTCATCTCAGGGACTCATCAACACACAGTACATGCTTGGTTTTCAAAAGCATGTGCTCGTAAGCATTTTAAACCCCCAACTAAAAATACATACACCTCACATATATGAAGCTGTCTTTATAATATTGCCCCATGCACATGACTTCCTCGAGTCTTTTCTAAGTAATCAGATGGAGGGAATTTTTATTTATGTTTTAAAAACGTGTGCCTGTGTGCACATGGGCACACACATACCTGTGTGTGAAGGTATAGAGGCGAGAGGTTAACGTCTGTTGTCTTTATCACTTCCACACCTTAGTTTTTGAGACAAGGTCTCTCCCTGAACCTGGAGTTCCGTGTGCAGCAAGGGTGGCTGATCAGCAAGTTCCTCAGGTCTGCCTGTCTCCCTCCTCCTTCCAGCTCTGGAGCTGCAGATTGGCGCCTGTGCCCAGGTTTTATGGAGGTGTGGGGAGCCGAACTCTGGCCCTCATGCTTGCAAAACAACCACTTTTACCCACTGAGCCTCCTCCCAGTCCCTGGAATTTTACATTTAAAGAAGTCTAAGGAGGAAATCTTTCAATAGAACTGCCTACAGTTCCCAACCTAATTAATCTAATTAGTGGATTTAAGTACCAATTAGCATATTTCCTTTTAGAATTAGAGTGTAACCTCTTCTTTATAAGACACACAGCTTTTTTCTCCGCCCCCCCAGTTTATCTTGGAAAACCTTCAGTCAAATGCTGCCTAATGTTTTAACATTGTCTTTTTTCATGGGTTGAATACTTTTTAATTTTTTAGATAGTTTTAAAATTTTTGTTTTTTATTTTATGTGTGTGAATGTTTTGTCTGTACTCACGTCTGTGTATTAATTGTATGCCTGGTACCGTGTCAGCCAGAAAGTGGTGTCAGATCCCCTGGAACTGGTTTATAGATGGATAGGGGCTAGGAATTAGTTCGTGGTCCTCTAACTAGCAGTCAGTGCTCTTAACTCTTGAACTATTTCTCTACCCCCCCGCCCAAAATGTGTAGCCCAGACTGGCCTTCAACTCATGATCCTCCTGCTGCTTCCTCTCCAGCATATCCTCCAGACAGGTGCCACCACAGCTAGCTAATTTTAAAATAAATATTGAATAATAAAAATTAAAACTTTGTGATTCTTTGTCTTCATATGGGTTCTTGCCAGTCTGCGAAGGCACTTTATTTTAGATGCTAGATTTTCTGTGCCAGCCATTGCAACAACATTTCTGTTAAAGCATTTTCTTCTTCTTTTATTTTTATCTATGTGTGGCATGCATGTGTGTATACATGTTTGCACTGATGTGTGTGTGTGTGTGTGTGTGTGTGTGTGTGTACTGTTGAGTTGGGTTTATGTTGCTGAGATGCACATGGGGTAGGGATAGGCAACCTCAGAGCATGCACCCCCCTGATGGAACTGTGACTCTCTTCTCTATATGCATCCACTGATCATAGCTCCTCAGCCATGAGTGGGGTCTTGTGAGACCCTGACCCTGCTGGAATGTTGACTGGTTTTATCTCCTGCAGAACTACAGCTGCTGAGAGTTCGTGGGTGCAGCACCCGTGTCATGTCCAGAAGACGCTGTTTTGCAGCAGTCCTCCTGGTCTGCTCCCTCTCCTAATCTTTCCCCTGGGATTTCTGTCTTGATTGCTGGGCTGTGTCCAACCCACATTCCCCCACAACATGTAGAGGAACTTTGTGACCCACAGCTCGGACGATTGTCCATTCTTTGTTTAACCCTACCCAGTTACTTCCGATCATCCTTGGACTAAAATAGAAACTCCTTCCTCTGCCTATGCCCAGCCAGTCCTCCAGAACGCCTCACATACCAGTCACCTTCTTGCCCATGAGCTTTCCTCTACACAACCTCTCTTTCGTTCTTTGAACCAACTGGACATGCTATGTGGGATATTCGTCCTTGTAACTTCTATAGGATCATGTGTTACTTTTCTTTCAAATCTCAGCTTCTGTAACTAATCCTCAGAGAGAGGACTCTCTCCCATGTCGTTCTTTCTTTTTCTACTCAGTGATGATCTGATTAAAATTATTAATGGCTCAGTTGTTGGTTGGTTGACTAATTCACATTCATTTCCTTCAATACCTCCACGAGAGAAGCTTTGGGCGATGTCTTCTTCGTTCTCCATGCTAGTAGCCATTCTGTTCCTGTACCAATGAATAGGCCGATAGACGGAAATGAGTTTCTCCTCCCCTTTTACCAATGGACGATAAAGAAAAACAATGAAGCTGCACCAATATCTTATGTATTATCCAGAAGAGCTTGAAATGCATAAAATATAAAATTAATAAGCCATAGTAACCTAAAGAGTAAGGTTGGGACAGGGTTAGCATCATGAAATAATACATTGAGATAGCAGCTATGACCTGAGTGTTTGATTTAGTTTTATTTCTCCTGCTGTGAAGGAAGAGCCAAAGAATGATGAAATTCTCTAAGCAGAAAGAAGTAGCATGAACGCAAGTATTATGAAAATGGTATCAGCTCTTAAACGGTGGAGAATTTACTACAGTTTCTGCAGGGTTTGCCCGTGACTTTGCTCTGGGTTGTAACTGATCCCTGCCCCAC